TGTTTAGAAATAAAATTTATAAATGACAAAGAGTCAAACATTGTTTCTTCTTTCATTCATAGTGTATTTCTAAATTGTTTCTGTTATATAAATACAAATTTACATTTTCTAGCATTTTTCGAAAAAGATGCATATAGGTATAACATTGATTCAATGTTTCTCGTCTTTGCTGTTTAGATGCACACATACACATAGCAATATACATATAGACAGGCACATGGTAACGTATGTATATGCACATATAAGTATTAAATTAAACACAATGCTTTCAGAACATAAGTCACCTGTCTGTATCTCATAAAATCCAGTCTCTCACTCAATCTCAGTTTCCTTATGTAATACCTTTCTGAGATGGCTTTTGGCAATAACTCTATTGCCTCTATTTAGATAAGATACATGAATCTCATACTTTTATTCTAAATTCAAGTTCACTCGTCATATCTAATGCCCTTGAAGCAATCTCAAATTACTGTTATTACATGGGTCACTAGAAACCAGAAGCACTAATATAAATTTTAAAGAGAGGAAAGAAAGGAGGAAACCCCTTCATGCAATTAGATCCTGACTAACGGTTGGTTTAATCAATTTGATTTTTATCCCTAAATCCAGTCCTTCCTCTTGAGCTGTCAGCGAGCGAGATAAGAGCCAGTGGTGTAGATGGGGCTGTCTTTTTCCTGCCGAGATGACAGCCCCATGGATTACCAAAGCATTGCAAGGGATAGAGAGCAACACAGCGCTGCACCCTCATCCAGTGCGCAATCTTTCTATTTCATTAATTTTTCATGGAATTTCATTTCACAACAAGCTGGCGTCTGCCATCCATCTGCTCCACTTACTATGTCCCCTCTGCCAACTTTTTATTTGCATTTCACAACATTCTCCGGCTGCTCCGCTCCTCACCACCTTGCTGAGATTCCCAATTTACTTTCCGTAGATCTGCCTTGTTTGGTTGCTTCCAAAATTCACTCCCAGTCCCCTAAAGATCTGTATACTGAACCACTCTGGAACAATAGCTGAATTTCAAGACAACTTTTTTGTTGTTGTTGTGGTCAAATACTCCAAAGAATGACACATTATGTTCCAATGCTCAACTCAGCTGACCAGTTAAATGAGTGTTTGCATACTGCTTAAATACTTCCCAAAGTCCTTTTCTAGTTGATGGAAGATGGATACACTTCACTCTGAACTGTGTCCTTCAGTTTACCTTGAATGGGTATCAGTTCTCATTCTGTTTCCAAATAGGTCTACGTTAAAAGAGATTTTTGTTTCAAATTCTCAGAAACTTCAATTACTTTACATATTGTATACAATAATGGGCTACATATTTAAATATTTTATTTGAAAAATGAATTTCAGGCCAATGTATATCCTCTTTGGGGAAAATAGACTAACAACAACAACAAAAAGAAAGAAAACCAGATCTAAAACACAGAAAATATATACCATTTTAATAAACGAGAATGTCAAGGTGTATTCATGAGACTCCTCAGATATATTATCCTGACAGCCTATTGTTAAGAATTCAATTTTAAGTGATTTATTTTTAAGTACTGCACTATTTTTGAAGAGGTCTTTCTCTTAGTCTACCTGAGTTATCTGCTGCTAATAACAATTTTAAAAAAAGCCTTAAATCTTAACCTTTTGTTGAGGTTAAAATGAATTCTTTTGCAATATTTGCAGTTGTTTTCTAACGAAAGCAGAATTATCCTGTATAAAGCACAGAATAGATAAAACTGTTTAAAATCATGCTGTATAATTCTACCAGGAACTACAAAAATAAAGTGCAATCTTTTAGTTCTCTCCATGTGCTATTGTAGGCAATACTGTATGGGTCGTTAATGATGACAGGTGATGATAGCCTTCATAACTACCTGCACTATCATTGTTTTCTAAAAGTCTCTAATTGACATCAAAGGAGGATAAACTGCTACATTCCACACATCAAATGGTTTCAGACCCTACTTTTACACATGTACAAAAATCAGATGCTCTGCCCAGCCTTCTCCATGTACTTTTATTTCACTTGTCACTGTCTTGTGTTAAAGTAAGATTCTCACATTTCCCATTTGTCTAGACAGTGTAAACCACTTTACAAATGATTTCTAAAGGAAATCCTAACTAAAGCACCACCTACAGATAACATACAAAGGTAAATGATATGAGGTCTCAATAAAATGAAAGTGAGATTTGGAGTAGGGAGATCTATTCAAAGAATTTTCTTTAAAGTTTATCTGGCAGAGAAATGTGAGCTTCTGCTAGGTAACCCTGGGAATAACATTTTGTGACTAAGTTTTTCTTCCATTTTTGAATTATTAAAGATATGTATTACTTTCTAAGTGGTACTGTGGCAGAAACCTACCCTGTAAAAGAAAGGACCCCATTTTCGAGATGATGGATTTCATTTACCAGTAATCATATCTTATCATTACCATAGTTAGGCTGTAGTTTGTGTTGAAGTTCAAAACATAGATTGTTGGATCATAAAAAGCATACCGTACCAAAGACACCTTTCAAGGCTACACAGAAAATAAAGAGCCTTTAACACACTCACCAACTGGATGCTATGATGCACTTTAAAAAAAAGAAGCTTGACTGGCAGATGAGCTTGGAACATACATGCATACATACATTTATCATAATTACATTTGCTAACTTACAAGAATAGTTTAACATATTATAATCAGCATCTTCCATAATTACACAATAACCTTTCTAGAATTCCTTAACTGTCTCCCATGTATGTGTGGTTTTTCATTTTGGACAGGCTTAAAATTAGAAGCTATGCTATTCTATCTTTGTGAAGATACATGATTACTAAGATAAAATTTAAAGACATCATTGCTCTTGATGGAGTAGACGAAATGTTCATTTGTCATACAAGATATTACAAATAAACTTATCTTTTTCTGGGAGATTAAAAGAAAAGATTTGCTGTGTCCTGTGACTGAGTATGCTAGCCTTTATTTTGATCATATATAGCTACATTGTTAACTTTGCCAGTAAAAGCGAATATTTAATAATTTCACTGTCTACCACATCAGCTGTTGTCAGATGCCACAGAAAAGGCCACTTATACACAGGTCTACACACAATAGAGACTGATATATGATTACCTATTGCCTTTGTTAGGAAAATTTGGAGACTTATGATCATTAAAATTACTAAGGGTACAAATATTTGCTGTAAAAGTTTTTATTTTGGGCTGTCATGGTTTGGTTTTTAGCAAATAAAGACTTGCTCAGGTTTCTTTTTATTTTCTTCCAGAATGCTTTTTAAGTTAGTATGCCTTATACTTCATGGTAAGGCAAAAGAAGGAAGATAAGAATTTCCCTTGGCTTACATTTCTATAGACTGTGTTAGTGTAAATATTGCTCCATTTGTTTTGTTCTAAATAGCTAAACAGACTATAAAAAATAATCAGGAAACACAAACACCTGAAGCATAAAGACAATTTTTTTCTTTACTTCTTTTAAAAGTGACATTCATTGTTTAACTGTTGAAAGCCATGGTTTTCTTAATATTCATGTCATTTTTAGTAGCACGTAGCTTTAGAAGAAATCAGTGAGTCAATTTCAAAAATATTTTCAGATAATGAAGTGAACATCAAATACAGTTGAGCTGTTTGAGAATTGAAGTACAATTATAAAATCAGCCTCCTTGTGAAACCAAAGATTCTGAAACAATCAAAGGCAGGTGTCAGGTCTCCTTTGCTTTCAGGGGTCTTATGTGTGATCATAATCAAGGACTGTTCGCTTCTGACATTTATGTTTGGTAAATTTGTGACTAGAAAACATATTGGATGCAGGGACTGCTAGGAAACACTTAGCAAACCTAGCAGAAACTTATCTTAGGCTATAGAGATTCTAGAAGGGTTAATATAACCACCACCTCATCTCACAATGTATCCTGCATAAGAACAATTCAAAAATCCCAACTCACTTAAGTTGTGCCTGCTCTGCATACCTCTAAAAACACTTTAAAAGCTAATAGAAAACCAAAATACCTTCCAGATGCTGGTAAGAATACTGAACTTCCACTGACTCACAAAGAGTCAAGTTCCTCCCTGAGAAGGAAAGAGGCAGCTTTGGGATCATCTTTAAATCCTTCTGTGGAATGCTCACCGGCTAAAGATACATTCTTGGGCACCGCCTATCACGTTGGAAGAATTGCTAATTTGACACAAACCCTTGTGTGGAATCCCTGCACTTGTGGTGACATTGACTAAGTTCTGTGCTTCCCGTTTCCAACACTATCAGTAAGAAGGTACAGCCTGAGTTTGTCAGCTGCAACCTGCCATTCGCTTGTCTCTCTTTTTCTGGTTTGCGAGATTTAATTTTCTTTCTTTTCCTACCATTAAGACACAGCGTTTATTTCTTTACTGGCAGTAATTTCTGCAAGGACGTGCCTTGTCCTCTTTGTCTATGCCAGTGTTTACATGACCACGGGATAGCTCACTGAGTTAGAAAAAAAATAAAATAAATAAAAGCCAGTCAATTTGGGAAGGAGATTGCCAGGGTTTTGCCCTCTTTTTCCTCTGAGACAATTTGGATAGGAGGAGCTGGGGCAAGAGCTCATTCCCTCATTTTTATGTGTGTTGGCTTAAGTGAGTGTTTCTTTTGGCACCCTGTGATACTGTCAGCTCCAAGAGTGTCTAAGTGCCAGCCTTGGGTATCAAGTAGGGACGGTGGTACCCAGAATACAAGCATCCGAGGATGGATGCTCCTCTGCTCAGTCCTCGCAGCTCTCTTCCCAGTGTCTCCTGCCAAACACCTTCCGCTGAGCAGCTGCCTGGCTCGCAGTACCCTCTTCTGGGCTTAAGGAAAGACCCTCTAGATGTTTACAAAAAGGTTTGAACTCACAAGCGCCCTACTCAGTATGGATATCCCCAAAACATCATAAAGTGAAGACGACAAGCGGAAACAAACAGCCACCGAGATCGCAGGAAGGACAAGGGGAGAGTTGCAGCGGGCACCAGAGCGCACGCACGGAGAGCTTCTTACCTTTCCTCTTGGACCTCCTCCGCCTTCTCCTCTTGGACTTGCATTTGAGTTGACTGCTTAGCCCTCCAGATCCTCTGCCGCTCCCCAGGACAGATGCCATGCCAGTCGGGAGACTCAGAAAGGAGCCAGTCCTTAATCAATTTCGCCTTTCTTATTCTTGCTGCTGCGGCCGCGGCCGTGAGTATTTCTGCCTTTGCAAATCAAGTAGCAGGCTCACTTTTTAGGACTGAAAATGCCAGCAAGCACCTTCTCTCTAATTGCCCCGTCACTTGGTTCTGGATGAGCTGAAATGCTCGGATGCGCGTTGGAAAGCTGAGCCCTTCCCTAGGCAGAAAGCTCTGGGAAAGATTCTCCCGCGCGTCCTGAGCGCCCCGGAGCTCTCCTCCTCCTCTGGGCTCCCAAAGCAGGGCTGCTACTTTTGCGCCTCTGCGAGTTGTTTGGCACCATCCACTTTAAAGCCAATCACGCAGGGAGCTCGTCTATTTGCTGCCGCAAAGTCTAATTAGATCCAATCACAACTGTCTTCTGGCTCTGACATCAGCAGTACCAGCTCCACCGCCTCTGGTAGCTTGCAAACTCAGCTCCCATTTGGACGGATGGAGCCGCCCAGGACAGGCTGGAAGAAGACAGGCTTCAGAGGAAGCCACAATCACACCGAACTGGTTTTACTGGGAGAAGTCCAACAATGCAGTTTATAGGAAGGTGACTATCCTGGGATGTCAAGGCTTTTTGCTGCAACCACTTGATATGCTCAAAAGACGCAAGGACCTATTTCTCAAACCCAGCAGTTTTTTAACTAGTTAGGTTAAGATGCTCATTGTCTGGAGCGGGAAGGATCTCTTTAGGTTCTGTTTAGAACTTCAGAAATACTCTGAGATCTGTAACTGCCAAAGAGAAGACAAGCTCTTTAGGAATTGTTTACTCAGAGACTGTTTGCATGTTTGTTCTGATGGGTTCCCAGTCCACCTCCTTTTCATATCCCTAAGCTGTTCCTTTAGAAAAAGCATGAAAACGGGTGTTCTGATTTCATCTGAATTTTATAGAGAGGAAATTCCCGTGGTGTTTCATCCACTGAACAGTTACAGGAGAGACAGGTTAAGAGTGGGAAGGGGAGAGGAGGAGAGGGGAAGGGAGGGATGGGAGAGAGGAAGAGAGAGAGAGAGAGAGAGAGAGAGAGAGAGAGAGAGAGAAATAAGGAGAAGGAGGAGGAGAAAGATCCCATGGCAATTGTAATACTGACATACAGAACGGAATATTGAAGAAATGGTCTACACATTGAAGTGATGTTACAATTCTATTTTCAGAGATACCCTAGGTTTCAAGAATTGATTTCCAGAACATAGAACTCTAACATAAGACATAAGAAAGAATATAACCCAGCCATCATCATGGCATCTTGTATTTAAATCTCATAAATTTTAACCATTGTAAGATTGGTTTGATAAACATTGACTCTAAAATTTGGTAGGATGAGTTTACAGGAAGACAGGAAAATTATTTCCTGTTTCTGTTATTTACCGAGTTCCACATTTCTTTTTCCAAGCTCCTTATGGGCCTTGATATTTCCATGTTATTTCCCTTATGTAGGAAATAATTATCCCAGGGAACATTGGAAGTAATTAGGGTGTCCATAGATTGCTATATTAGTGAGCTGAACAATTCTTGCTCAGCTTTCATTGATGATAGAGACAGTGAATTTCAAATCCTAGCTCCACTGCTATGATTCACAGTCATTTACTAAACAGTGCCTCAGTTTCCCTATCTGTGAAACAGAGATAGCAGCCTCAGCTCCTTCACTTCATACTTTTCAGTCAGTATAGACAGTGACCAGCAGACAATAACCACTTTATGATTATTAGCTTCATCCAGTGGATAATTTCAAGAGACTCCTACAAGTAGGCCTTAGAGATAGAGAACTCGTGTTTTTCTTCCCTTTTAGACTGTTTGACTTCCTGGCTTATCTCAAAGGGAAGACTGCAGTCAAGCAAGCTTCTCCAGTTTGGCTTGGGTTCAACAATTCCCCTCCTGCAACGTAACTGCTTAGTGCTAATCATGGTTTCTCCTGAGTGTTGAGAAACTACATGACATTCTCATGTAACCTGCAACATAAGAGGCTGAGATTTTGTGGAAGTTCAGTGAGAGCTCCTATAATATATAGACTTTGCGGTGTACTTCAAGAAGAGCAGACATTGTGATGAATTATGATACATCAAATAAAGAAAAAACATGCAAAACACAAGCCACGAGGCTCAGAAAATGTTCAATGATGAAGAAAAAAAAAGCACGTTCCTAGTGCAGTGTTTATAAGATCAAAGGTGAAAATTATGGAGTATAACTGAGAAGACCTAAGTTGACCTTAGTTGTAGAAATTCCTTCCTTGGTACATTGGAGTCACAAGGGGATGAGGCAAATGTCAGAAGCAGTGCTATCCCTCAGCCTTGCAAAGGCTAAGAGTTTCCACTGTAGTCAGAAGTACAGCTGTGCAACCTCACCTGTTAAATGTCTGTGCTCCACAGAGAATGTCTGTGTGCCTGCAGAAAACCTTTCACCAGGTTGAGTCACCAGTGGAAGTTCTTTCAGATAAAGCTACACATAGATGACCCATTGCTACTTGATTATGCCCATAACCTCACCAACATGATACCTCTGAGACTCATACATACTGACTCTTATTTTACTAAGGCAGTAAGGGAGGCATAGAACAGAATCTTGAATATATATATATATATATATATATATATATATATATATATATGTGTGTGTGTGTGTGTGTGTGTGTGTATACACATGTGTGTATCCATATATATATGTGTATATATATATATATGTGTGTGTGT